GTGGGGGTGGGGGGCCGGCGGGGAGGGGCCGCAGCCCCACACATTTGCACTCTCGGGTGGAGGCCGGTTGTGAAGCGCGCTGCTGTTTTGTAAAAATGCGTGTGTCTTCTGGTGTCTGGCTGGAAGAGGGAGGGGACACCTTCTAAGATCTGGGGCTCTTCGCTTCATGCCCCCCGTTTTTTAAATTGCAAAGGTAGTTTAAAAAAAAAAGCGATGAACCTGTGGCTCTTTGCCAAACTGAACTGGAACAGCGTATTAAGCTTCCTGGATATTCAGACGTGCAGGTCCTGCTGCCGAAGGGCAGGGAGCCCCGGAGTAGGACAATAACTGCTGTGCTTGGGGGGTGTTCGCGGGTGGTTGGGGCACGGGCTTGGACTGCCTCGAACGCACACAGTGCCTGTGAGGCTTAAGTAGGCACCTGGTGGGGTGGCCAGGCCAGTGGGGGATCCAGAGGCGGTCTAAGAATCCAGATTTCCAAATCCCTGCTAGGCCCTGCTAGCACCCTTAAGACTTCTGGGTGGAGAGAGAGGGATTCTTTCTTCCTTTTTTTCCCCCTTTTATTTATTTATTTATTTATTTACTTACTTACTTACTTATTTATTTAATAAATGGCACATTAAGGAGTAAGGTCCAGCCAAAAAAAAAAGGGACAAGTTTGATCTCAGCTTTACGCTGCCTGACTTCTCCGGTGTGATCCTGTTTCCTTCAGGGGTTAACAGAGAGCTTTGTGTGTCTGTCTGTGTGTGTATGTTGCTAAGGTCACCATGGCTGACAGGGCTGCTGCGGAAAGGGCCTGCAAGGATCCCAACCCCATCATTGACGGCAGGAAGGCCAATGTGAATCTGGCATACTTAGGAGCAAAGCCAAGGATCATGCAACCAGGTAGGAAATGCCTGTGGCCGGCCCCCCTGCTCCCAGAGCCCACCGCCTGTTTGTGACTAGAAGGACGTGGGCTCCCTGACAATCTGTTGATATACTTAGTCAACCTGAGCCACGGGCTGGTTATTTGACCAGGGCATGAAAGGTAAATGAGAGTTGTAAATACTCCTTTCAAGACTTGAAATGTACCTGTGTCCGGGGGCTCTGGAGGTTTGGACACACACAGGGTGAGGTTCCACTCATCTGTTTCGTCCACCACAAGCGTTTGTAGACTGCTCTCAGTTTCCCTGTCTTTAGCCATTTGTCAATAATGCACATGCGAATGTGTCAACTCCAGCTAGTATGCATCCCTCCTTGGTGTGGTCCCTCCTTTTGTCACCAGCTGCCCTGTGCTCCCAGCAGGCAAACTGACTTGAACACTGACCTAAGAGAAGAACAGGATAAGAAAGCTTTGACCAAAAAAAAAAAAAAACTACAGAATATTAGCAACCAGAGAAAATAGTTTACCTACTCAGGGACCCTCATGGTACAGATGAAGGGGCTTACTCTTAGAGATGAAACTTGGTTACTCAAAGTCATAGAGCATTAGTTGCCAAAAGGGAGCAGCTCTTTGTCATTGTGAAAGCGGGATCGTTTGGATTAGTAGTAACACCACCCTTTGTATGAGCACGAATAATTGCAAGTTAGTTGACTGTTGAGCAGATGTAATCTTCTCGTTGGGTAAGCAACTTTACTTGTTCGATTAAATCATGTGCTCTTCACTCTTAAGTCTTTCCATCTGAAATGTTGGAAAGAGTTTGACACTTCCCTCCAAATGGATTTCAAAGGAAATTAGGGACGAGGTTGTCAAGAAAGTGAGTTCCTCCTCCTCCCATATCCGTGGGCTTTAAAAAATAGGTATTTGTCTAATGCATTGTGTACATGGCCTATCCAGAAAAGGACAGTTCGTTTTTGTGAATTTTTAGTACCATCAACTGTAAGGCCCATAGTCTTCCAAAGCATTGTCCAGAGCATTCCAGAATGTTCCATGATCTTTTTATAGACTATGGCTCAGAATTGTAGGAATATTTGTGACATGTAACTTCATTGTCAAGTCCTTTTGTTCTCAGTTTCATTTCATGAACATTTTTCCCCTGGTCTAATTTATTTTGTGTCTGTCAGTTAAACTTTGCAGATGATTTTTTGCCAAGTGTTCACTTTTGTTCTGTTCAAACCTTTGTTTTAGATCAATAATAAAATTTGTAAAAACAAACTTTAAAGTGTGTATGCATATGTAAGATATTTTCTCTTAAAGTATCAAAAAGATGGTTATCTTTTCTAAGTTGTGATTGCATTTTCTATGTAAGAGTAAATAAATGCCTAACCACACACAGTGAGAGAATGTGGTATGTTTTGTTGTTAGGTTTTGCCTTTGGTGTTCAACAACTTCATCCGGCCCTTATACAAAGACCTTTTGGGTAAGTCAACTAGTCAGGCTTCCCAAGCTCCAATATGGCTATCATTTGTTAATCTGCCTCTTGGTTATACACAGACAAGATCACTATATCACAGAATGTTCCTGGTTATACAGATTCATAATATGTTTGTGTATTTTTAATATTGATACTATAAATATTTTTAGATGAGTCAAGTTAACTGACCAAGTATGCAGCCTCCCAACCAGACAGATTTTGAGCTTATGCTTAACAAAACAAAACAAAACAAAAATACCAGGTATGACTTGTGTACATGACAGTTGTGCCCCATCACCATTTCTGCTGTTCGACTTGACTCAATTGTATTTATCTCTTTCTAACCTGACAGGGCTCGTATACAGTTAAGCTAACTGATCAGAAGGATACGATGCTAAAAGGTGGAATAGTTCTGTTTGGAATTAAACTCTGTAACCAGTAGACTCAGACACACAAACGCAGATGGTGATTAACGATGCATGGATGTTGGTGTTGTTGTTTTTTATTTTTCACAATAGTCAGTAGCCCTCCGTGTGCTGTATTTTATTCATTACAGTCATGAAGTGGTGTTGATAGCTAAACTGTGTGCTTTTTACTTAATTGAAAAGAGCTGTAGTGGAAGTGTTTTCTTTTCCTCTGGGAAGGGGCTCTTTGCGTTTGGGTTTTGGTGGTGGTGTTGAGGCGTGTTGACTTTTGACTTGGCCATGGGAAGCAAAGGGCCTTTTTTTTTTCTTGCTTTTAAGCTGTAGCCTGTGACTTCCATTTAACCATCTCTTTGTAGTGAGTGCTAAATGGTGTGATTTCTCTGTTAGACTACAGATCCATTGCTTGCATGTCCTAAGTTACTGTTTTATGGGACGTTCTCTGGGAACGGGGTTCTTTCTTTTGCAACCTTTTAGGCCTTCTCGTTTAAAGGTTAGACAACTATTCTTCAGAGCTCATTAACAGTAGCCAGGTTTTAATTTATTTATTTATTTATTTATTTATTTATTTATTTGAGTCATGTAACACTATCACCTCCTGGACTTAATGCAAGGGAACAGGCTGCTCATACTTATGTTAACTCTGGGTCCTGGGATGACTGGCTTTCCAGTTCTGAGGTCCCCCTGTCCCTTCCATTTGGACATGATAAAAGTGGAAGACCACCTACTGCCTAATTTGTCCTGGACAATCGAGTCTCTCTTGGCTGTATCTATCTGGTCGACACTCCTATAATGAATGCCAGAGCTTTAAAACTTCCTTTCAGATGTTCTAGTTGCTCAAGAGTGTTTTATCCTTGGCAAAAGTTTCTTCTCTGGCTTAGGACCTAAACATATATAACCTGAAAGAATGGAATCTGCCCACATAGATAGGTGTCTACCACATGTGTCTCTGAGAACAGACTGAGAAAAAGTAATTTGACTTTGGGGAGTCAAGTGATGTTTTCCGTGACTACCTTCTTAGAACATTTGCTTTACTATGTCGGCACCTCACTCTTACTGCCAACTCCTGCTTTTCTTCTCTGTGGAAGAGTCTTCTGTGCTGGGTGATTACAAAGGGCCTTCCCTATGTCCATAGCTGTTTATCAAAGCTCCATCTAAGTCAGTGCAGATACTGGTGACAAAGCTGGATTTGATGGGTCCACCATTTCTGCAGATACTTCTTTGGTCTAGGGGTTCTGGTTTAGGTGGGCTCAGGGAGAACAGCCAGCCATCAAAGTGGTGGTGAGCTTAACCGTGACTTCACACTCATCATCTTGAAACAGTTCTAAACAGTTATAACAACTCAATCAACAGGTAGCATCCTGTGTTTATTTTTTTCACTATGCTAGTGGCAATGCAAAATAGGAAAACTGCACATTGGTGTGGGGAGCAAAAATAATACCCATGAACCAATCAGGAATTGCTCATTTCTGAATTTCTTGGTATTGTTTCAAGTACAAAGGAATTTAGAGGAACAGGAGAATGGATGGGTTGGAGGAGGCGTGCAAGGCTATGCGTGGGGAGGCAGACTTGAGTGACTAGATGGAAGGTTCTTAGAGAATAGGGAGATTGGCTACGTCTAGAAGGTGCAGGGTGCAGTAGGCAAAGGCAGAGAGGAGGAAAAACTCAGTGCAGAGAGGGAGCAGATTGTTTATGGAAGGTCTTGAGGACAAGGTATGAACATTCTTACAGTCTACGCAGGTCCTGAAAAAAGAACAAGTAGCACAAGCAAACGAGAACCATGAGAGTAAAATGTATCCCACGAAAACTTTAAATCATGTGCATTTTGATAGTACCCTTTTGTTTTGCATCTCATGCAGTATCAACTGTCTTTGTAAAGGATGGTGATTATTATCATGTGCATAAATCGTTTGAACTTGAGATTCTTGCCAGAAATAAATGGCATTCCAGGCGAACCAGGCTAGCTTTCTCTTTTTCTTTTTTGAGGGACTTGCAACACTGCTTTAATTCCCAGAGTCTGTACCTAACAAATCACACCTGGTCACCCTCAGTTCTATTTGTGTGCCACATGTTCTTATTTTAAGCCTGGAAAGAAGCTTGAGAATTTTTCATTTTACTTGGCTTGATTGACATTGTAGTAACTGAACTTTTTTTTTTTTTCTAAATGTGGCCTTTAGTGCCCCATTCGACCTCTCACTCCAGATTACTCCAGGCCTGGAAAGACAAAATGTTGGCCTGAAAGAATTCCTGATAATACAAAGTGAACAGATGTGAAGAAACGATAGATTTGCTGGATAATATCTTATAAATACTTTATGTTTGAAAGAAGCATTTTTTCATTGAAATCTAGAAGCAGAAAGATGACAGGTCTGTGAGTGGAAATTTCTGGACTAGTTATCTCAGGTTGACCATTCACTGTAGACTAGTAACTGTCTTAAGTTTTTGCTAATTATGGTCACGTCGTGCTAAGTCTTTGTACTGAGCACTAAGGTGGGGGATGGGAAGGGATCATAACTAACATTACCCACACACCTGCTATCTGCATGGCACTGATAAGGGATTTATATAAATTATATAATATAATTCTCATAGTTCAAATCAGATGGTGGAATGGTTAATGTCCTTTATATGAGTTTAAAAAAAAAACTGATACATAATTAATTTCCCTCTGATCACAAGACTGATTCTAGGTTCAGAATCATGGTCTACCTGACCTCAAAACTGTGTATCTTTCCTCGGTGATGAGCCATGGTCAAAAAAGGCATAGCTCCATTCTTTCTCATAAGAAAGCTGATAGACAAAGCCCTGGGAAGGAAAAGATACCAGGTTGGCAAGATTCCAGAAGTCTTCATGAGGAAGTAGACGATGACCTAGATTTTAAAGGACGATGGAGGAGGGGTCTCTTTTATTGACCACCTACTATAGGCACCATCGTAGGCTGCTCCCGTAGATTCTTTTATTCAATGCACGGTAACTCAGGGTTGAAAATATTAGTCCATTTCACATACGAAAAATGCGAGATTAAAAGGTAAAGCAAAGTTCGGAAGGCCGCACATGGAGCGAGTGTTAGGGGTGATGGGGTTTGGATTCCATTGGGCAGGTAGACAGAGGGAAGGAGGATTGGCCTCCCTGGGTGACAGATGAATGGCAGGAGCAAAGGCAAGATGCTAGAATTGTCCAGGAAGACTTAAGAGAGCTCAGTCAACCTGAGTTCAAGGAAAGGTAGAAGAAGTACTTGGAAGGTATTTTGGAACCAGAAGCACCAAAGGCACAGAAGAGATTTGCCTTAGTTTAGTGTAATTAGGACCAAGGCCTACTTGGAGCAAGTGAGTGAGCTGAAGACTGTGCCAGTAGTTTGGGTAGTAAACTGGAAGACAAACTGTGAGGATGTTGCTTCAAAAGTCACAGAGAAGGCCAGCAGGTGGCATGGAGGTTAGGGCAGCTGGATCCCACATGGCCAATTGTGCAGTGTAAGTCCAGAGTCTGAACCCAGTCTGGCTTGAAAATCACACTGGGCTCATGTGCACCTATGCATGCCCAAAATCTCCAGAGAAGAATGGGCAAGAAGGGATTGCAGCATGACCATCCCCTCTAGGGGGGGGTAATTTCTTACTGTCCCTGCCTGTCCCTGCCTCTCTCTGTCTCTCATCTGGCAAGTGCACACACCCTATAAAAAAACGAAGATTAAGAAAAGTCATCAAGAGAGGGCTGGCCCCACAGCCTGGAAGTTAAAGGAGACAGATCCCACATGGCTGACCATGGTTAATATCCCCACGGGATGGGGAAATCGGCCACATGGTGTGGCCATGCCTTGTTGAGGAGCGCTCCTCCCCTCTTCCTCTTTGTCTTTCTGTCAAATGTACCCTCCCTCTGACAATTATAAACAAATTAAAATAACAAAAAAAAGTCACAGAGAGATGTCACCTAAAAATGTGGGAAGAAAAGTAGAGTCTCATCAATTTTCTTTGAAAAGGACCAAAAGTACCTGATTGGCTCTGTGCTTTGTCACTGTAGGCACGCACATGCCCGGGAGTGTCTGAGGCAGGAGACGCTGGGAGACAGGGTCTCACATCGCCTCGGGCTCCTTAGAGTAGGAGAACTAGGATGCAGGAGTCCTTCAGATGTACCCCCTTACCGTTAGCCTGATTCTGCCTTCCTTCCTGAACCAAGACTCTTTAGACTCTCCATGGGTATCTGGAGTCTCCTTTCCCTAATCCTTAAAGGGCTGCAGGTCTTCATTTGCCTTCCAGAGGACTTCCCAGCCCTTGCCAGACTTCCTGTAGGAATCTGCTATTCCAGGGAACGTTATGTGGCCTCTCACTGTTGGGTATTACCAGTGAGAACTATTGCTTACTGTAAAGCAAACGCAGAGACAGAGTCCGAAGCAACACTGCCTGTCTTACATTTCAGCGCATTCTTCACACACACACACACGGCTGTCCTTTCTAAGATAAACTTATTTCCAGTTAATACTTCTATTCAAAGATAGGCACTTAGCAACTACCATGTTGTTCTTGAAGCTTTGGGAGCACCAGGGGTTAACGTTTCAGTATCAGTGAGATTCATCCTGGCTGGCCTTTGCTGCTGATAGAGGTTGTACTTTGGCCTTATAAAGACATTTTACCCGCTGGAAACCCTTGTCGCATGACAGGATCAAAAATAGCCCAGCTGCAGCCCCTGCTGTCCATCACCACACGCACACTGGCAGGAGAGGAGCTGTGCCGGCTGTGTCTGCGCGCCGTGGACGGGGCGGCCTCCAGGGACCACATTTCAGAAAGCCACACCTGTCGCTGTGGGGGAGCTGGTCACCTGACGTGCAGCGGCACACTGAGAGTGCATGGCCATGCCGCTGCTCTCCGACATGCAGGTCGGAACGTCTCCAAGTGTCCTCAGACACACTTGGTGACGTCGTTTCTCCTGGCACTGGGCAAGATCTATGAGTCTCGTAAAATTTTGTGTATTTTTATCATTGGGGTCAAAGTTCATCACTCTCTGATAAATTCATCTTTTCCATGGATGTGCGTTAAGAAGTGCTTTCAGTAAAAAACTCAGAGAAGACAACGCAAAGTCCATGTCTTTGAAAACTCTTAAATATGAAGTTTTGAGTTCTTCCAAATTTCAAGATTGCTCCTTGCGATGACACTTCTTACAAGGTGGCTTTGCCCATGGTAGCGTTCGGTGTCATTGTTGTTAGAATGTAGGAGGTGACAATGGAGATGATCTTAAAGAAAATTAAACACAAGTTCTATATGCATGGTAGTGCTATAAAAGGCCAGTCAGGAATCACAAGAGAGAGTTGAAACGCATGGGATTAAAAAAAATATCTCTTGTGATTTTTTTTTTTAAGCAAATGAACTCTTTGATACACAGTCATTGGTGTCTGTCTTGTATGCGATCTGTGAATGTATTCTTTCCAAAGGCATTTAATTTTGTTTCACTTGCTTGAACTTTTGCAGGACATTACAAAAATCAGATGCTGGATTTGTACAGCATGTAAAGGGACAGGGACGTTGTATAACAGACATGCTCATACATTTGTTTTGGTTGATTGGGAGGATAAATCGAGAGTTAGTCAACACGTACCAAACTGTTTCCTTATGATGCAAACGTTCTACGTGCTATTGATTTGCAAAATATGTCGTTGTGTTTCCCTGTCCCTGTCTTTTCCATCAACCTCATCGTCTTCCCCAAACTCCTTCTGTCTTGCATAGAGATAAACAAGCTGGCTGACCCTCAGTGGCCTGATAGTCAAACAGGTTTGGTTGACCTTCGTGTCCTTATGAATTTGACAGAAAAAGAAAAAGAGAGAGAGGGGAGGAAAAGAGTGTGTTGCGCATCTCTTTGGGAATCACTGCCCTGAACGTTGAGAGTGTTTTTGTAGCTTCCCACACAACCTCTTGTGGCAGAGTGAGCTGCACTACCTCCGTTTGAGAAGTGTGATTCTGCTGTGTTGACCACACTTGTGAACTTTTAAACTTTTTTTTTAATTTTGTCGCCTGCTTCTTTTTTTTTTCTTTTTTTTTAATGATTATTTAATGAGGGTGACTGAGGTTGCAGAGAGATTAATGTGTGCTGAGTCTGCATAGCCATTTCCAGTAGGGTTGCCACGATAAATGTGTGGATTTGGTTGAACTTGATGTTAGTGTGGATACTGGGCCGGCACCCCCCCAGAACTGAACAATCACAGGTGACCTCTCGAGTCCTGTCATCACAGCTAAGAACGTTTTTCTATTGGCCAGACATTCTTCTTTTATGGACTCATAACAAAATTTCCCAAAGCCTTGATCCATGAAGCATTTGTGAAGTATCTCTTCCGTGCACGGCCCCCATGAACGGTCACTGATTTTCCAAACGTTGCATAAACAATATTGAATGGCTCTATGTAGTCACGCATGAAAATTCTCGCAGGGACGTCACCCTATTTGGGGGTTGAATTCTTTAGGGGGCACCGCATGACTCTGGCTACCGCCAGAGGACGTTCCACAGAACACTAGCAAGTGGATATTGTGGCAACCCTATGCTTGTAATAACCACTAAATTTGAGTTTGCCTTACCTCTGAACAACCACGCGACACCTAGGCGGCGACTGCCACCTGACTTGGCTTTCCATTTCTCAACAGGATCCCTGCGCACTATGTCTACCCGCAGGCCTTCGTGCAGCCGGGCGTGGTCATCCCCCACGTGCAGCCCACGGCCGCGGCGGCGTCCACCACCCCGTACATCGATTACACCGGAGCAGCCTACGCGCAGTACTCT